GGGGGGGGGGGGGGGGTGGGGGAGGGGCCCAGGGACAGTCGTTGGCGTTTACGAGAAAGGCCCCGCGGCAATTTTTTTTCTTCCAGGACTTTCAGAGGGACCCCGGCAGCAAGGACCATAAAACAGCGCGGGAAGATTTGTGCCTTTTCAAGAGGCCCTGAAAGTTACCCATGATGCAACTGATGCCCGTGCACAACGAAGTCCCTGTCCCCATACTTAACAAAACCGCACCCGGGGATACGAGAGGCCTTCGGGCTCAGGAAGAAGGCACGGGCACGGCCAAGGAAGGAGTTTCGTCAGAAATGCGAAACGCGTTTCTCCCTTTTCATTTGGAGATTCCAGATTAAGAGGAAATCCTTAGCTATTCATGCCATGCCCCCCCCCACCCCCATTCTCCTTCAGTACCATAAAAACATAAATTTTCCTGTCTGCTTTCCTACCAATAAAAACAGCCACTCCCCTTAGTGTGGGGTGTCCACAGCCAATGTGTGAGGACCTGGCAACCCAATGAAAGGAGTGCTATTCATCACAGGGCCCTGGGGTGGGGGGGGGGTGCTTTTACAGCTCATGCTCTGTACCTCCCCTCCCAGACCACGCTGGTCCGGCAGTAAAAAAAATAAAATAAAAGCCCCTGAGGTGATGGCCGGACAACCAGATGCACCAGAATGGCGTGGCATTCCTCCCCCAGGGGCAATGGGGCCAGGCTGAAGGGAGGGGGGGGGGCTGGAGTAGGGGTTTCCTGCAGGATGGCACCATTTCCCGATGTGGCAGTACAGAGTTTGAAAGCTCCGCCCACGCCGAGTCAGAGGAAAGCTCACACGCGCTTTAAAAGTACTTTCAGGGAAAAAAAAGTACATAAGCCCGTAATTCGATGCCAGACGTGAAAGAATTAGTGAGCAGCGTTAAGAGCATCTGAAGAGATACGTTCAAGCAGAAATGTTTGCGTAGGAGTCTTCTTTAGCCACAGCTGATGCCTTTGAGTTACAGGCCGGTCTGAATACAGAGCGGTTCCAGTATAGCCCCTTTTGAAATCGATAAATTTAACCATGTCCCAAAGAGGCTTTCCCCAATCAAAGGGACTAATTTAGGTTACACACTTTACATCACATCAGTAACCAGAAAGAAAATTTCAACAAACAAGCAGTTTAATTCAAAATGTATCACCAAAGAGTGACCGAAAATACGAGAAGCAATTCCCTAGTTGCCCTGCCACACTAATTAGCATTTGGGTCGACGTTAGTCGCAGGATGAGCAGCATTGTGGAGCAGGGGTTCAGTTTAATGTACGAAGTGTCTGGTTCCTTGGCCCTCAGATGGACACCCAAGGAGGCGTAACAGCCCACTGCTGAGGGCCACATCTCAATTACAGGAACCCCCTTCAGGACTGGGAGGAGCCCACATTTGATGTTTACAGCCTCTTCATGCAATAGTCTGTGTGTGTATGTGTGGGGAGGGGGGTTGACCATTAAAAACAACAAAAGGGGGGGGGATGGAAATGCAGCCCTATCTGCAACAAACACCTCAGCTTCCTGTCTGGTATGTGAGGAGAGCCAACAGAGCCAGTTCTGCTGCCCAAAATGCACAGACAAGGGCAAAAAAGGTTACCGGGATGAATCATGAGGGACATGTATAGTGGGGGGGATGCTGGCTCCTCCCATGCACACCCAGACAATCATAAGCACTTACCGTAATGTCTGTAAAAAGGTGAAAACCAAATGACAGGTTCTTAATTCCACAAACACAATGTTATTGCTGCACATGTCCTAGAGATCTACTCTCCAGTAGGTTTTCTATCCTACCTGGCTTCTGATGTGCCACACCTGTTCCTGGTATTTACCTGAGAACTGCTGTGGTTCATCAGAAGCCAGGTAGGATAGAAAATCGACTGGAGAGTAGCTCTACAGGACTGGAGTTGGAGACCCCTGTCCTAGAGGTTGCACGGTCCCTTCAGCTAGCGTGTTCAGGGTTAGCGTGGACTAGAACTCCACAGGCAAGCCAAACGCATCGCTTTAGGCCTGCCAGCGAACGCTGATTAACTATGACATTCGCAACAATTTCATAGAACCAAAGTCATGATTCCATAAGAGGTCTGCTAAACCACTGGCAAAAGCAGTTTAGTTTTCACACATGTACTTATTTGTCGTTGTGGGGACATCCCAGTGATTCATTCTTTCATGCAAAATTTTGATTAACACTACCACAAGGGGAAAAAAATTTACCTAATTTAATCAAATGAAATTTTAGTCGATATAAAGGCTCAAAAGCTGAGGCAATGAAATCCAGCCTCATCTGGCTGTGGAACGAACAGGTCCAGCGGCAGGAACACCAACATCGCATCCAATTAAAATGTGATGTCGGCATGATGGCCACATTGACATTTTTATGCCAATTTTCGTGGAAGCCCCTAGCACAGATCATCCATACAGCTCTCAACCTCAAAGCAGGCAGCTGAGAAAGAGATATGGCCCAAAAACATTGCCCAGCCATTATAAACAAATATACATGAGACAAAATCAAATGGCGAAAATAATTCAAAAGATAGCTAAGCAGCTAAACGAAACACAAACCTGAGCATGAAGTATCCCTCAAATCGGGTCTGGTGCCAACACTAAATCAGAGCCTAACAGGGGGAGTCCCGACTGCGCCTGGGTAGCTGGGCCACACCAGCAATAATTCCCGTGTTCAAGGGCAGCCGTACTGCAGATTTTAGGATGTACCCATAACTTAGGGCGACAGCAGAAGCCACAGGGAAAACTATTTACAACCCAAAACTGAAAACCGATTAAAATCAAAACCAGAACATTCTACGGCCTTTACCCATGAAGAATAGTTCATGACCGGACCACGGCACAGTAGTAACGATCCCTCAACCCTTAAAGGACATTTTGTCCACCCACCTCTGATTTGTTGGACAAGTCCTCCACGTCAGAGTCGTTGGGGTGCACCACTTCATGGAACGGTGGCAGCGAGGGGGGCTTCTTTCGCTCCGGCGGCTCGCCATCCACCTTGAGCTTAGCAGGCCGCACCTGGGACGGATGCTTCTCCTTGGGCGGCTTCTTCTCCACGTGGTGCTGTTGGGCTGGAGGGGAGCCCGGCGGAGGTTTTAGCGGCACCTCAGAGAGACCCTTCTTCCGCTTTTTGGTCACGTGCTCCCCGCCGTCAGCCACTTGCGGCCTCTTGCCGGGGGCTTTGGTGCCGTGCTGCACGCTGCCCGTTCCGTGCGGCTGGTTCGCGTCCGATTTGTGGTCCTTGGACAAGCCCTTGGGCTCCTTGAAGCCCAACTTGGGGATTGGCTGGTCATCCCTAACTGGCTGATTCTCTTTGGGTTTCTTGGACGATTCTTTGGAAAGTCTACCGGGCTCCCTGGTAGAGTCTTTGAAGGCACTTTTATGCTCTTTCGAGTCTTTTGAGGATTTGTCTTTGTGCTCTTTCACGGGTTTGTGAAGTTTAGAGGAGCCACTGCTGTTAGTCGTGGTGGTCGTGAGAGCGCTGCTGCTGCTTTTGGAACCATCCTAAAGCCAAACAACAAGACGACTGTTGTAAAAGATGTGCTAGCCGCTAGCAGGGCCTTTCACAGCACATCATCATTAATACATTACTACAATATGTTCCAATAACATTCAACATGAAACGAGGTACATTGGAAGTTAGTAGGAATTGGAGTCTGAAAACATTTAAGGTACATGAAAGCTTCAGCCGCAGTTGCACATCAAGACAATTTCAATCACAGCATGGAAAATCATTTCACTCAAACCAATCACAAATGCTCATTTGGACTGTGACACTTCATACAAGTGCAATAAAATATATCCAAAGACTGGCACATGGCTGTCACGCTGTCGAAGGACTGCAAGGTTGTCAACTTTGGACTGAAATTTTCAGTTTGAGAAGTCTGCACGTGCATTTACATGTATGTTAGTCTTATTATCTTGCAAATGGTCTGTAGGGTTTGCAAACTACCCCAACGCTTTCTGATGTACCTAGTTTTAGGTTTATAATGGAACAATATATGTTTGCCATAAGATTTCTTGCATGGACATGAGAGTCTGAAAGCATGAGAGTCAGGCCAGAGTTGGCAGCCCTGGGATTGTCTGACCCGACACTTCGGAGATGAGTCACTGACAACTCGTCATGGGCCTCCTGGATTTCTCTACAGGATCCACACTTCCAAGGTGGGCCATGCTTCCACCTCCAGCACGCATGTTTACTTTGATAAATTCAGTGGACGATTCATTGAATGACCCAAGAATCCACAAGTCTAATGAGTCAAACAAGTACGCCGCATAGAGTGGCAACCTGCTTATCAAAAGACCGTAATCCTCATGGTGTAAGTGATGCCCTTCATTGCAACGCCAAGGACGAGCAGCTGTGCTCGCTAAGCTAGAGAAGGCATTTCCTTATGGACTACAAACACAGTCCTTTGCACTGAGGAGACCTGTTGAGAGCTTAAAAGGGTAAATTTGTTCACTTGTCAAAAGATGACAGCTCTATTACTCTTGCCAAGTGAGTAAACTTCTTTGGGGTGACCAGTGACCCCAGTGAATGTGTAGTGAAGATTTGATAGCAAAGACCTAACTATCCCTTACACTGTGCTGGTGCCTAGTCGACCATCTGACCCATTATAACAGAAAGGGAGCTCCAAGATGCTTTTGACCCAATCATACTCAGTCCTCACTAGGCTGCCTCTGCCAATATTTTATCAAGGGACCACGAGTCATTAAACAGTCTAGACTAGGGGCGAGTTACGAGTTGCTTAAAGAGCCTCTACAAACTTATTTTGTCTCCTGCTCTTGACCCTACGACCCCTGGACATTAAAGCCCCTTTACCCTTAAAGGCAAAACAGCTGTAGTGGTCCCTTCCAGTGAGACTCCCAGGGCAGAGCTCAAACTGGGGCTTCCACCTTTATTATCGCGTCATAATGTATGGCTCTGAGCAGCCCAGCTTTACAGCCCAGAGCATTAACCTAGCAGGTATATAAAGGCTGAGAGCTTTATAGCAACACACACAGCGACACGCATCATAAAAAGCTATTCATTCGAAGCTTAAAAGTGCCATGCTTCAGAAGGTTCCATGGCCTTTTGGGCGATTACATGACAGACTGATGTTTTGCGTTTGTGTTTCTGCGACAGGCAAACGCACACGATTAATAACCCCTGTGCCAGACCAGGGCAGCACTGGAGATCTCTCCCCCAGATGACAAACTCATCCAGACCCAAGCCTTGGAGTTTAGCTAGGAGGGGTTGGAAATAGACTCCTTCACTATGGGAAACTCATCAGCACAGAGCTCAGTTTGGGGCTGGCGTCGAACCCCATGGGGCCCATCCACTGTGGGTCACCGCTGCCCCCCCCCTGTGCCCAGAGTCCCCCGCTGAAGGCTCCAGAAGCCTCGAGGCACAGACCTGCAGTAGCAGACAGTGTACGACCTCGCAGGTTCGGGGCCAATCCCGGATAGGAAAAAGGATCACACTGGGATCCTAGCAGAATAACCTGCTCATCTATCACCCTTTCACCACTGCTTCTAGTAAGGAAAAGGACATTTCCTGCATGTGGTATCCATGACCATTTCAGAACAAATGCTGCAAAAACAGCAGAACGATAAAACCGAAACCGTTGATTTTCTAAATGGTTTTCAAGATGCCCCTGGCATAATAAATAATAATAATAATAATAATAATAATAATAATAATAATAATAATAATAATAAGGATGCCATCTGCTTAACATGTCAAAAGAGATAATTACTGCAATCACTGAAGCCCCAACCCCTCCCAGATCCACAACTTTGCGATATTTGGGGATTACATCCCGCTTGCTCATTATGCAGAAGATATAGTCTAGACATTTCACATGCAAAAAAATAATAATAATTATAAAAAATCTCCCAGAAGATGAGCAGGAAAATATTCAGCACACAAAGCAAAAAGGGAATAAATAAATAAAATTCCCTGTTTTTATGAGGCCATTACTAACCATGACGGAGGCAGCAGTCAATACTGGGTAGAAAGGAAGACGGAAAAAAAAAAAAAAATTATATATTATATTTATTTATTTTTATTTATTTATTTTAAAATCAGCTGAATAAGCACGTGGCAATTTGTCACTGCAGCCAGTCAGACTGAAATCCTGCCACTCCTGAGAATCGTCTGTGGGATATGAGTGTCCTTGGTGAGAAGAGGGTACACAAGCAGGGTGGGGGGTTTTACAGATAATGCTGGGCTTGTGTTGGGGGGGGTGCAGGGGGCCTGCATGCCCGGTAATCCATCACACACCCGGCACTGTTTGCACTAGAAACTGCTTCCATGTGCAGCTCAGGGGCGGCAAAGCCGACGGGACCGGCCCCGTGGAAGCCCGCTTAACGGGCCTGGGCAAAGCCGACGGGACCGGCCCCGTGGAAGCCCGCTTAACGGGCCTGGGCAAAGCCGACGGGACCGGCCCCGTGGAAGCCCGCTTTATGGCCATGGGCCAAGTCGGTTGACCTGTGAGGCTTTACGGCCGGCCCTAATGTGTTTCGAGGTGGACAGCGGCACTGAAGGTGCTCGTCTCCTGACACCGAGAGAGAAGCAATGGGAGAGCACGTGCACTCTGACTGAGACACACACACATGCACACATGCACACACAGAATGTGCAAAATGACCGTGCCATCTCTTCACAGCGTCCAGGATAACACAACATCCCCAAAAACAGGAAAAAATAAGCAAATAAAATCAATTATCCCCATTATGTAAAAAGTTAAAGTATTCCCACCCTTTTAACAGAACATTAGAGGCTGACCCCCACACAAGTAAAATATTTTAAATAAATAAATAAATAAATAAATAAATAAATAAATAAATAAATAAATAAAAAGCCTAAATCCTTGAACCAGACAAAGAGGAGGATTAGCATGGGTCTTCGAAAGAGTAGAAATCCCGAGAGAAGGAGCGTCTCAGTGTCGTGAGCGGCCGGCTGTAACCCCAAAGGAGCCCTTGCTGACCTTTGACCCGTGAGAGGATTTGCTCTTCTTGGCATCGGAGAAGGTCAGGTTCAGGGAGCTGCTGGGGAGGGAGGGCAGCTTCAGGTGCTGGCCAAAAAGGGACGTGGAGCCCTCCTGCATGACCATCACCTGGATTCGGAGGAAGGACACTTCCATATTATTACCACTCATCCACAGAATACCATATTACCACATTCTCAGCTCATACCGTTTCTTTCTGATGCTTAAAGACATACAACCGCAAGCTACTGTGTAAAATGCACATAAAAATAGGATATAATGATTTGCAAATTATATACACACCCACATCAATTGAAAAGAGACAGAAATTTGGTTTTATGACAAATATCTGCTCAATTTGAATTTGATTCCAGCAACACTTTTCCAGAAAAGTTGGGATAGGGGTGTGTTTACCACTGTTTGAACCAGCTCTTCTTTTAACAACACTCTGTAAAGTTTGGGGACCGAGGAGACCATTTGCTGGAGGACTTTTGAAAGTGAAATGTGGTCCCCTTCTTGCCTGATCTAGGATTCGGGGTCTGCTTTGTCATATTTTTTGTTTCAGGATGCGGCAAAGGTTTTCAGTGGGCGACAGGTATGGACTACATCTTGATTCGCCAGTTTTCCATTCTGCTACAGTTCATCTAAAATGAGCTCAGGCCCAGAGAAGTCAGCGGCATTTTAGGATCATGTTTAGATATGGCTTCTTCTTTTCATGGTAGAGTTTACTACTGCATTTGTGGATGCAGCAACGAATTCCTGAGCCCATGCAGTGATTTCCACTATAGAATCGCGTCCGTTTTCAATAGTGCCACCTGAGGACCCAAAGATTATGGCTATCCAATATTGGTTTTCAGCCTTGGCCCTCCTTTCTTCAAATTCTCTGAATCTTCTAATGATATTATGTACCGTAGATGAAATTCTCAAATTCTTTGTAATATTACGCCGAGGAACATTATTCCTCAACAATATTAGCCCACGCAGTCTTTCACAGATTGCTGAATCTCTCCCCATCTTCACTGCACAGACTCCGCCTCTCTGGGAGATTCCTTTTTTATACCCAATCATCTTACTGACCTGTTGTCAATTAAGCTAATTGGGTGTGAGATGCTCAACCCGGTGTTTTGTTATAGCGCCACACAACTTTTCCAGTCTTTAGTTGCCCCTGTCCCCACTTTTTGAAACATGTTGTTGGCATCAATTTGAAACAATAAAATGTCTCAGTTTCAACATATATTGTCCTTGTTGTATTTTCAGTTAAATATCGGTTTTTATATAAATTGCGAACCATTGCATTCTGTATTAATTCACATTTCACACAGCATCCCAACCTTTTTTGGAAACACGGCTGTATAGCCAGTGGTTTGTTAAATCGCAGTATAGATTTGGCAGTGATGTGTGCCCACACTGGCACATGGAACCATGCAGGGTAAAGATTAAAAATTAAGCTGTTCTAAGCGGAAGTAGAATAGTCCAATTTAAAACAACAACAAAGACATACACCAAAAGTGCAACCTATTTGATGGTGACTTGTTGGATTACTGTTAGCAGTCCACTTTTACAACGCCAATAAAGCAGAGCTGTTCAACTAAGCTACGAAAAGCACCACACTTCAAAAAACACCTACTCGCCAATTCCATATTATTTCCAGAACCTTCCACAACATTAATCAAATGAATAGGACTATAAATGTAAAGGGCATCCAATTGTTTCAACACCTATCGACTAGTTCTGCACGATATCACATCATGATAATATGGGGCATCACCACCAGGACTCAGATGACTGGCGTAAACATTAGCCAGGCTTTTCAGTATTATACGGACGTTTACTTACGGCCACAATTTGGTAAGCAAATTAATAGTAGGCCTAAAATATTAATGAGATTGTGACAGGAAACGGTTAGCAATCCGTATAAAGTCGACGTATCCTTACGTTTATTAAATTCGGTTAGTAGGGCCACATGGTACCGTTTTCAGACATTATGGAAGCGATAAGCACTGGAGGTTAAGAAAAGGAATGGCTCAACGGCAACTTCACCTTTTATGAGAGGAGAGACTGAGGGTAAACAAGGTAAAGAGACGTTGGTGGTGTGGCCGTACATTTTTTAGTCAAAAGTCTGATACGTTTATTAATTTACACAGATGACTAACTCTCAGGCATCATAATGCGCCCCTCATTAAATATTTTAGGTGCACTATTAATCAGTTTGCCAAATTGTGGGCGTAAGTAAACATCCATACAGTACCGAAAAGCCGGCATTCTAACAAATGTTTGCACTCGTCATCTGAAGCCCAGGTGATTATTCCGGATGCACCACATAAGCGTGACGTGATATCGTGCAGCCCTACTATCGACTTATGACCGAAGGATATGGTTCATCAGTCATCCGTCGCAGCAGCTGATTAAAACTTGCAGGTTAAACAGTGAAACACCTCCCTGGAGACCACAGTTCCTGCCAGCCAACAGGGTCGCAAATACTGACTCACCAGCTAAATGCCATTAGCAAATCCAGGTCCTCTGGACTGAGACACAAGGTTCACAAATTACCAAGAAGAAAAAAAAACAAACACAATAGGCACAAAATACTAAAAACAATAAATGCATTATATCCTTCTTCAGTTTCTTTGAAAACAAAAATGTTCTCAGCCTCATTCAAGGACCTTCCCTGACGACCATCCCACTTGTGGGACGTAGCTGCCACAGTGTTAGTATGTACACTGACCGGCCAATTGATTAGGGACACCTGCCTGGTAAAACAGCCTGCTCCGCCAAACAGCCAATCACATGGCTGCAAGTGAATACATACAACACAAAGGTGGGGGTCAAGAGATGCAGATGTACTGTTCATCTACGCATCATGAGCGGCTTAGATGATTTCAAACGTGGAGCAACTGTTGGCTCCAGACATGTTTGGCGGGGCATCTCAGAAACATCTGTCCTTCTGGGATCTCACACTAGTGTCTAGGGCAGCGATTCTCAACCTATGGGTCACAACCCAAATATGGGTCACGGCAAGATCGGAAAGAGTCAAGAGGCAGAGCTGGAAATGTAAGCATTTTAAAACCAGTAAGCTCCTATGCTGATCCACGGTCAGATTTCCCAGCCCCAATCCTAGAATTAACCTATATAAATGGGTCTTAGGTCTGCAAAAACTCGTAAACATTCAACCAATCCAAGAAGCCAAACTACAGATGCTTAATTTAAAATTCACTGGCACATCCAATCAGATTAGTGCAATAGGCATTGATTGGCATAAATTGCAGAGTGCACTGCATGCTTGATCATAGCATTGATTTAGACTTATGCTTGATATAGGGTCGCGACTGAGCTGGCATGGTAAAAAGGGTCGCGGTGCAAAAAAAGGTTGAGAACCTCTGGTCTAGGGATTACAATGACATGACAAACAAATGCATCCAGTCAGTGGCAGTTCTGTTGTAGCAAATAGCTTCTAACGAGAGATCAGAGAAAACATTGGCCAGACACATTTCAAGCTAAACAGGGGGCCACAAAACAGCTTGGTGCAACAATGATTCACAGAACGGCTTCTCAGAACTCGTCTATCCTTGAAACGGTTCTAGAGACAAAAGGGGTCCTACCTGATACTACGCAGTGGTACTTAATAAAGAGGTAAAACAAGGCCTGACAGCATGTGCAGGCCAATGTCCTCTGATTGGCTGTCAGATCCTGAGGGACAAGATCTTGGCACCCAGTAACACTGGCTGAGAAGACGCCTAGTTTCTCTTTGAATGGCCCGTTTCAAAACGAGAAGCTATTCAAACAGAGCACTCCACACTCGAAGAGACTCCTTAAACAAGGTCGTATTTTAACTCAAAGCGATTGCATCAACAACATGTTTTGAAATGAATCCAAGACCTGAGTTTGATGTCTTACTTTAGAGTCGTCGGTGCTTCTTTTATGAGGATCCCGTTGCTGTCAAAGGACATAAGAAAAAAAGGTTTAAGACATGAACACACCTAGACACTCTCTCACATGCACACGCATGCACTTACACCAAGTAGGCAAACGAGAGCTTCACATGACCACAGCTGACCAGAGAAAGCACCTCGCCTAAACCTGCTTCAGAGAGCCAACTACTTGTTCATTTTCTGCATTGTCCACACCCTAAGTTTATTTGACAGAGGTTTTTCCTTCAAGCCATTTGCATCAGGTAAAGCTTTAGTGAAGATTAGTCAGTACAAACCACTTATCTCCCATAGACAAAATCCTTAGGAGAGCTGCCCTGGAGTCTGCCCAAGGACAGGTCATGCCAAACCTGCAGTAACTGGCCAGGCTCGAACCAGTCCTCCCCAACATCACTCATCGCCCCAGCTGATGCAAGTCATGCCTCGGTTTAGATCCAAGGCTAACAATCGACAGCAGTGCCAGTTCTGACACGGGTACTCAAGAATGAGAGATTGAGAGCGTTCCAGTAGGAAGCGCCTGAATCTGGGCCAAGGAGAGCCCGCCTATCTCCTCTGGACAGCTATGGCAGGCATCCCATTCCTCCGGTCACCCGACACCACCACCCTGTCCCACCCACCCAGTCATTCTTTCCCTCCTTCATCGAAGTCTAGAATTGAAGTCGTCTACACTTTGCCCAAAGTCAATGTTCCTTCAGTATATCCGTCCATTCCATTCCACCCAGCTGTACTCATGGGAAACCCTACACTACACAGCTCTAGCACCCCCACCAGGTCCTTCCCTGTACACCCCCCCCCCTCCCCCAATCCACGCACCCCTCCGGCTTTCAGCAGCTTCCGGCGAAACTCCTCCGTGGGGTTGTTGAAGGTGAGCTTCTCGCAACGCAAGTGATTGACGGGTGGGTGACCCTCCAAGTGCAGGAACAGGTCGTAGTCAAAGCGCACTTTCTTGGGCTCTTCCTGAAACGGCATTCACATTATTAGGATGTTCTACATTTTAGCTGAAACATTAACTGAGCTCACTGCAAATTACGCTAATCCTTTTAGAAGACACGCAACAGCAATCAATGGCTATAATGGCAAGAAATACAGCAAAGTCCCCATATCCCTTATGGTTAAATCAACCTATCATGCATCATACAGATTTACCGTAATCCTTGGATTAAGGCAGGTACCTTATTTTTAAAATAAACTTCGATGGGCAGGATGAAGCCAGCATAACCAGACTCTTCCACTTTATATGGGGGGTCCTTGCACACTGAAACAAAGACGGGGTGGGGTGGGGGGGCGTCACAGAAATGCAGTGTTATTTACAAGCTGCGAGCTCCGGTGCCTTGGAGGGAAAATCCAGGAACGATCAGTTTTGATCCAACCGCTGCACCGTGCGAGTGCCTAGGAGAGATGCGTGTGTACAAACCCAAGCCAGGAGCTGATGTAATACTTGGCAAATGGCTACGAAGTGCAGATCCACACGGAAGCCACCGGGTATCGCGTTACGGGCGTTTGGCCGTGGGCAAAGCCGTGCCTTGGTCTACAGACGGCACCCGGGGAACCCTGGTATTTCAATCCATGAAGGCTTCAGAGGCACACTGACAGACTTTAAGGTAAGGAAAAAGCAGCCAAACCCTGGATCAGGCAGCCCCTCAAAGCACACTGAAGATAACACTACAGAGAACATCAAAAAAAACACACACACACACACACACACACACACACACACACACACACACACACACACAAAGTTGGATTTTTGTAGGAGGAGATCAACTCCCACAAGCCTGTCAAATGCCGGTGGGTTGCTAGGCGCCGATTCTCCAATCAGTGCCCGGCACTGCTGCACATGGTCACGTGACCAGCTGCGCGTAGAGAAAGTCAAAGGCTTGGCAGCAAGCCCGGCGCTGGCGTGCCCGTCTTGCTGCGGAAGCAGCCAGGCTTGAAGCGCCGTGGGGAGGTTTCCCGCTCTTTGGATGCCCTGAACTCGAGTCGACCCTCGGCCGGTGCCGCCGCGGACGCCATTCACCGCTCGGTTAATTAGACGGCTTGATGAATCGGACACATCCAGAAGCCAAAACGCTGGATGCCGTGGGAACCACGCGAACGCTTCTGCCGGTGACGCCACGCGGGTTGGATGCCGCGGAAACGACAGGTGGAGCGGCATACCGCTGCCCGCCGCAGGTCCGTCACCACTGTGGGTTTTGGAGACCAAAAAAAAAATCCCACCTGTGGGATCCCCTGCGGCATCGCAGGAAAAAAAAAAAGCTCTTTGTTTCCTGCCTAAATCCCTGAAGAGAGCAGGACTATCAGAGTGCTTATATTTAAGCTGCTTGTTTACTGAAGCTTCAGCACCTAAAGGGAAAATCACACAACAGAGCGACTGAGACGTCACACCCCTCCTGTTTACGGGCTTAACTGGGCCAGGCACACAAACAGCATGTCTCTGGGTCTCCGGGGTTTTCATTTACGCTTCTGAATCTGGCGAGAGCCACAGGGAGATGATCCGAAGGCCACTTTCTAGGAGGTCTGACAGCTCAGACGCGAGCCCGTCCCGACCGGCGCGTCGCAGGGATGCAGACACACGGCCTCCAAATGTTTGGTCTGCCGGGATCGTTTATAGAGCGGCCTCCACGAGGGCCGGAGTCAGAGGGAAGGCTGAGGGGCTGTTAGAATTATGTTGCTGGCATGTTGGGGAGGAAGGGGGGGGGGACTTAACTGAGCAGAGTCAGGGTTAGGGGGGAAAAAGTAAAGCGAGGAGAAGAAAAAAAAAAAAACACGAGTCGGAGATGCCTGGATCTCGCTGCTTCTTGGGTTACATGGGCAGTGGGGCCCCGCCCACAAACCCCGGCAGCAGTGACTGACAGCGACACTGGTGGGGCCCGGACCGAGCCCACCACCACGGTAACACTGTCTCAAGTCGATAATGCTGTATAAATATTGAGGGTCGTGATTAACTGCATGACTGGGTCAGGCTCAATTACACTGGAGTAAAAAGGGCCCATTCAGCAGGTCATATTTACACAGAGGATGGGGTACGGGCTCAGGCCGGCGCTCAGGAGAGGAGCTGGCGGGGAGATCTAAGCAGGCATGGCGAGAGCCACAGCTCCCCACATGGATCTCTAGGTCTCGCCACCACTGAGAGGGCCAGATGAGTGTCAGGCTACAGCTCTGTTTACAGAAACGCTCCACAACCCGTCCCTTGGGGACCTACAGACAGGCGACATTTCTGCTCCCTCCAGCTCCCAGCGCGCCTGTACCAGGCGACCAGGGTTCCTGTCTGTTTTGTTCAAGTACACAGGGAGGAGCTGGGAAGGAGCAGTCAAGGGTTGGTTCAGGCTCAAGCGGCACCTCAGCGACTGCCACCCCCCCCCCCACCCAGACTCTTCGCCGTTCCAAATTTAGTCTCCGAACGATTTAGCAAAACATTTCACGGGAGTCAAAAGTCTTGTCAAAGACAAAAAGAAAAAAAATGCAATTCTCTCAATACCTCACAGTAACTGAGGAGGAAACAAACGGAGCGTAAATTCGGAAATAAACATGTTCGCACACGACAAACCCCCTAAAAAAAACAACTGAGATTAAATATAGTCGGCAAGACTAGCGTGCTTGGGAACTTCTGACAGAATACAGCGACGGGCTGATGAGAGCCCGATTGCACCATCCCCACTATGAGGTCTTTGCATGGAGATGACAGGTCGGCGCTGGGAAAGCTGGGGGACACGTGTGCCGGGACAGAGAGGGAAAAATAGGCCAGAGACGCCCGCCCAGGACGGCCCTTTCGCCGAGACTGGCTCCTTCTCAGCCGTAGGCAGGGGGGGGGACAGTGGGGGCTCTGATACCCTGGCAGATTCAGGGGCACCTGAATGTGTAAAATTATAAAATCATAGAAGGTAATGGAGGGAGTTTGGCCCAGGGTGACATTGTGTCAGGGGGCCCAGAATTTCTAGTTAAGCCTTTGGCGGGAGGGACATGCCAACCTCACCACTTAAGCAGGAGGTCCCAGAAGGAACATGCAGACCACTGAACTCCTCTGAGGGACTCCACCCTCATGTGAACGGACACTATATATATATGTATATATATATATACACATACACACACACACACACACACACACACACACACACACACACACACACACACAGACACACACACACACAAGGATTGTGCCTTCAAGGAAGGACATTAAAACCCATGACATGTCCTCAACATCGTTCCAGTTCAAAACGCTAGCCCTCTAACCATCGCTCAATGCGTAACTTTGCTTAAAAACTCACCTTTTCCATTAACGAGGTCGTTAAACACAGCACGAAGCATTTCCTTAACGGTCCAACCATTCTGTCAAAATGGGATAGTGAAGGAAACCCGTTTTAGGGGGACTGAGGCTGCCCAACGTCCATTAGCCCGGCGTCAGCGGCGACACGGAGGACACACCAGCGCGTCGCGAACGCAGTGCCGCGCGCTGCCCGGTAAGAGTCAGTCAGGGCTTATTGTGCGCTCCTATGTTCCTCGGCTGGATTAGGAAGGTGACATCACCAGAACAGAGGGGGTGGCGTGGGACACGGACAGAAGGCCTGATGAATTAATCTGCGGAAAGATTTTAACACCAGAAGCGGCAGGCAAACAAAAAAAGGTGAGGTTATTCCAGAATACTTACAACCTTTAAATCCATTATGATCTGCTGTTTGAAAGAAAGGGACCTAAAACTGGATTCGAAAACACGGCCGCGTTCATACGACACGCGACATTTGTTATTGTTCATTCTTTCATTTATTCATATTATATTAGGCAATTTCAATTTTTTTTTATTTTAATTTCAAATCCAGCTTAATAAAAAAAAAATAAAAAAAAAAACAAATGCAGAATCACCTAAAATATATAAAATGAATATATAGGGGATGCCCGAGCAGGTATATTTGACAGGAGAAGGTTGATGTTAAGCTTCCTCGGGCTCGTTTGGAGCTCGTTAGGAACGGTCGTCCCTCGGCACGGCTGGCAGCCTTGCGACTTACCCAGCATGCCCCTGGCCTCTACTCCCACGGAGCACTTGGTGACAGGCTGACAGGGAACGTTACCGAGTTTCTCCACACAATGTCGTCAGGCGCAGGGATTGCGAAATTCCAAGTACTACCCGTTTTTTTTTTTTATGAGTTTTTTTTTTTTTTGTTTGTTTGTTTGTTCATCCTTTGGTATTCACTTTTATACCTGAAATACACTCTGACACACACACAGACCTCTGCCTGACACAGTATTTCCACGGCTGAAGAACAGAGGGGACCTCTTCCATCTAAACGCCTACAGAAGGGATTAAAAAAATAAAATAAAATTCCCTGGCATGACTGTGGCTTTCTGTCACGGGTCCGACGCCTCCCTGCTGACTCTGGGCCCGGCCTGAGCGCTCTGGGAATTCAATAAAGATCGCGAGCGCGCTCCCATTTCACTGGGCTTCTCCGGGAGGGGAACTTTCCTCCAGATCCGAAACGAGAATCAACACCGGGTCGTGCCGAGGGGGCCAGGCTCAGGGCTTTGAGTCTGACGGTGTTGCCAACGGTGGAACACGGCCGGATTAACAGACGCTAAGCGAGCAACCTTGCAGCTTTAAGGAGTTTACTGAAGGGCGCCTAGCAGGTAGGCAGACTCTGACAGACCGAACAAATTACTCACACTACTGACAAATTAAAAAAACAAAGCGTGCTAAAGATTAGGAATGCGTGCTGGTAGCAGCCAAACGCTGAATGCTGGGCCAACAGGTGAGAAGAGACAGTGGTGGTATAACAGCTACGTAACGCAGTCTCAGGGTCGAGCCAGAGGATTGGAGAACTTGGGGATCTCCAGGCTTGAAGAGCAGAAGAACCCAGGGAGAACCCACCCCGTGTCAAGGAGTATGGGAGGAGAGGCTCGGTGGGGGGGTGCGGTAATGTCCAGCAGCCAACAGAGCTCTCCAAACAGGTGGGGATACATGTGCAGATCTTGGATGTCCCAGGAACAATGCAGTCCGTAGTTCTCCCTAGGCCTCCAGAGACATTGATGGAGACCCTCCCCCCCCCCAAAATAAGCATCCTGTATCAACGCAACGAAGCTGACAAAGAAAGGGCAGCATCCTGCGTCCGCCTGTAGGGAATGTCACTGCGGACGTGTGAGACTACACAGACTGAACCTCATTCATCCTGCATTTGCAGACCTACGGCTGACGTAGAACAACAAACCATTTCGGCTGAAACGAAAATCGCTCGGCCGATAATTGGTCCCAGACACAGGCTCGTT